AGCAAGCGCGTAAGATTACATCACCCAAATAAATATGCATAAGGCAGGCGGGGACTATGCATTAGGAGGGCGGATTCGTGTATTTTTTTACTACATAGAAGTACCTTTTTACGCTTTGGCGGGTTTTGTGGAGAGCTCCGCCTTGCACCCCCGGCGCAGAATAAACGGTGCGTCCTTTCCAGACTAAACCGCTGTGTGTCGAGAAGAGCTCCCGCTCCCTTCGGAGCTCCCGCCCTCCCCCTCCGCGCTCCTCCCTCCTGCCCGCTCGGCGCTGCCGCGCACACGCCCTCCCCACCCTGCCCAACGCCCGCCGAGCGCGGCGGATTCGAACGAGCGGGACCCGCTTTTCCCCCTCGCCCCGCCGCTTTTTCCCTATCCCCGCCGCTCCCCTGATACCTCTCCGGCCCCCGCGGAGCCGAGAGCGGGGCTGGCGCTGGGGGAGCGCTCGCGCTGAGTCCCGTGCGCCACGAGGAGGAACGGGCGCCGCCGCCGCCGCCGCGTGTGCGCAGGTGACCTCGGCCACCCCTCAGGGCGTCCCGATCCCTCTCGGAATACCGGCTTCCCTCAGGTATGGAACGCGGTAAGAGCGGCGGCTGTCCGACAGCCGAGTTAGCAAAGCGCGGTAGTTCGGCGGTGTTGTAAGCTAAAAGATAAGTGAAAGCTTCGTTTCCACGTGCGAGCCGCCGGAGGGAGCTGTGTAAGCGCTCAGTGCAAGGGCCACGGCGATAACTGCGCTAAATGCGAGGTTTTTGTCGCGTTTTATAACCTTATCAACTATTGTCTATAATAGGGTTAACGATTGTATTACTATAGACTGTAGTCGATGTATAATGCTCTTCTTGTGCCTCCATACTCTGCTAACACAATTTCTTTTGTTTTTTTTTTTTTTTCAAACACACCTTTAAATATTAATCACTGATGTAATCTCCTTGAGAGAAACTTAAATAACTCCTTTGGATAAAGCAGGTACTTCTTGATTATTTCAGTAAATTACCAACTCCTTCATTAGTGGGCACTTCAATATAATAAGGATGTTCCCGGTTTCATGAGGAATTGCTGCACTGATATAACACACTGCATTGATCTCCAGAGTTCAGGGAAATTTATTGTCTGATGTCACTCACTTTGTGCTTCCTCTCCTGCCTTCAAAATTCAGTAAGACAAAGGGGAATTACAATATTTACTGCTTCATTTAAGTTCCCTTTGCTTCTTCGGCAGATTGGGGTCCTTCTGAAAACTCTGCTTTTGTGCACAGTGTTTCAGGTTGGGCCTTTTTTAAATTCCTGCCTCTATTTTTGTTGCCCTTCAGTGTGATGATGGAGGATATGGAATCCTCATTGCTGGAAGATTTCTGCTTACACATCAACACGAAGATTTCGAATATTAAAAAATATTTACAATTAAGAAAAATAGGTAAATGAGATTAACAGTGGGGTTTGGGTTTGCACCCCGCTTCAAGAAAAACAGGGGCTGGAGAACAGAAGGGAGCTGGGGAAGGGTCAGGAGCAGCTGGGGGGGCTCAGCCTGGAGAAAAGGAGGCTCAGGGGGGACCTTCTGGCTCTGCAACTCTCTGTCAGGAGGAGGGGAGCTGCGGGGGGGATCTCGGGCTCTGCTGCCAGGGAACAAGGGATCGGACAAGGGGAAATGGCCTCAGATTGTGCCAGGGGGGGTTATGTTGGATCTTGGGAACAACTGCTTCATGGAAAGGGTTGTCCAGCCCTGGCACAGGCTGCTCAGGGAGTCCCCATCCCAGGAGGGGGTTAAAAGCTGTGTGGATGTGGCACCTGGGGACATGAGTTAGTGGTGGCCTTGGCAGTGCTGGGGTACAGTTGGACTCCATGGTCTTAGAGGGCTTTTCCAAACTGAATGATTCCATGAGCTCTGTTGGCTGTGTGGAGTACGAAAGCTTGACTTGCTGCTTCTCCTGGGTGGGAGGATATGGCAGCTGGGGAGTATAGAGTTAATAGGTAATCACCGCTTGTGGAGGGGAGGGAAATGGGATTTTGGTTTTTTTTTTTTTGTTGGAGGTTTTGTGGCTTAACATTCTCTTTTTGACAGGTGAAGAAAAATGCCTCAAAGTTCTTCTCCAGAAAATAGGAAAAGATGTGATCCTCTTGAATGATCTCCTGAATAAAATGGAAACTGAAGTTAATCAGCAAGAAAAAATGAAGCATATGCTACAAGTAATATTTTTTTTTCTTGTTCGTAAAATACTACAAGAGGAGTCTTTGATAAGTGTGTAGTTGTTTTTTTTCTTGATCCTCAGTGGTATGTTTGGATGCATGTTCTTAGAAGAGAAACTGGGGCTTGGAACAGCCTTACTGATGGCTTATTAAGCAGTTCTCCAGCTAAAGAACATTAAAAATTTTGTTTTTCAAGGTTTATACGTGGAATCATAGAATCACAGAATGGTTTGGTTTGGAAGAGACGTTAAAGCTTATCTTGTTCCAACCCCCTGCCATGGGCAGGGACACTTTACACTGTCCTGGGTTGCTCCAAGCCCTATCTAGCCTGGCCTTGGACACTTCCAGGGATCCAGGGGCAGCCACAGCTGCTCTAGGCAACAATCTGTGCCAGGGCCTCACCACCCTCACAGGGAGGAATTTCTTTCTAATACATAATCTAAACCTTCCCTCCTTCAGCTGGAGGCCGTTAGAAGCATGTCTTTATCATTGACCTCGAAAACATGTTTTTATCATAATAGATACTGTGATCTAAAGAACAGTTCAACTTATACAGCTTTCCAATAACTACAAAAACTGTTTAATTAGAATATTTATCTATTCTAGTGTGTGTCTGCAGTGCCTTCATGTGTTAAATCTTTGGGGAATGGGTTGTTTGGGGAATGTAGCTGAGTGTGCTGTGGTATCTCTTCGTCACTACCACCACTCCCCTATCCAGACCTTGCTAGTTGTGCATTGCTAAAGATTTGCATTTGCCTGCTCAAATTTCTCAGGCACTTCGAGGGCAAGGACAAGACACTCCTCGCTCTGTTTCTCTGAGCTTTACTAGCTCCTGTTGGGAAATGATGGGGTAAAGAGGCAAGATGACAGGGAGGGAGCAAAGGACACCTCTTAATAAAGCTGAAAATTAATTTAGTATTGTCCTGATTTTACTTGCCTGACGTCAGTAGGTTAAGCTTTCTGATGAAGTCTCACATTAATTTCAGGAGCTCCAGCAGGCTGCCAAGAGAAACCTAAAAGAAGCACAGCACCTCCTTGAACACATTCCTCCCCACCTGCCTAAGCGAACTCGGAACACGTACGTGGTACATGGGCATGGAGGGTGTCAGGCTGCTCCTGGCAGTGTCCAGTTGCAGCACTGTGCAGCTTTGCTCCTTTCACTCTACGTTAACTCTGAAATTTTGGGAGCCAAGGGTATTGTAATCTATTGATTCTGGAGTTTGCTCTTATCCAGGCTCATGCTACCACCCTAAAAAATCCATCAGGTAAAGTCCATAAGTGCAGTAGAAAGCAAGGGCTTCTATGAATGCAAACACTCCTTGCTTTGAAATCACAAACACACTGATTTTATAACTGTGGTGCCTGTGGATTGAAGGGTGGGTTAGTAATCCCAGTGCTAGGTCATCAGAAGTGAAGCTCACCACAGTCCTTCCAAACATAATTTAAAAAAATCCTGTGACTTGATCATCTTTCTGTGGGGCTTTGAATTATAGTCGGGGTTTTTTTGTTCTCCTTTCCCTGCAACATTTATTTCAGGTTAGCCATGACATCCCCTGCCTTGGAGAGGGCTGTGGTAAGGAGCTGTTCAGAACCAAGTAGCTCAAGTGTGAGAATGGCTCACAAGTGTGTGAAACGACAGCTGTTATTCAGAAGGCTTCCAAGACAATTGTAACTCTGAGTGGGTTTCTCAACTCTTTCTCTGGCCTCTTGGAATTGCTTTTTTATTTATGAGTGATGTTAGTGTGTGCCAGGTGGGGGGTCTCTTCCGGAGTCCCAGTGTCTGGGGATCCCAAGACTTGTTTCCAGCCTTGTCAGAAGGCAGTTCAGTCTGTTTTAATTCAGTGCTTCCAATATGTGCCCTCAGTATCTCAGCTTTATACCTTGGTCTGGTTCCTGATGCCAGACAAGCCTCAGGCTGAAAACATTACAGGTGCATTCCAGCAAAGCAAAAGGTTAAGTATGTGGAAGTAGGGTTCCAGAAGAGAAAAGTTAGCTGTAATTTTAGTTGGTGCATAGCAACATTCCCATTGGTGTAGGTACTGATTTTATTGAAACTCGGATTAGTCTTAGCTGGTGGAGAGATGACTTTTGTAGGAGCTGCTTCTGATTGCAGCTCTTTGGACATGAGCCCTCGGATTAGGAAACAGTCTCTCAAAATGTGTCTAGAGGTGTCTGGTTCCTTTTCAATTTAAGTGTTCCTTTGTGTGTGTGTGAAAGAATAGAAATCCTTCAGAAATTACCGATGAGGTTCTGCCTTCCTTGTTGAAACCTGCTTTCTTAATTCAGGAAACCCTTTGTCCTAAGTTTGTGTCAGCTCCTGGAAATTGTCTAGATGCAAATGAGGCTTATTTAGTGATTGTGCTACCTCTGATATCAGAAAGATTCTTTGGGGTGTTGGTTTCCCTTCCAATATTGTCCTGCTTGTGATCAAGAAGATAATTGCGAAATGACTTTAGCTGGTCCTTCCCATTCTGGACAGAACCACGTATGTAAAACCAACCAAGCTTTTCTGATAATTTTCTGCAGACTGTGCTCTGCCAGCTCACAACTGCTGTTCTGTCAGTGTCAGTTTGTTGTTGGTTTCTCCTGGGTAATAACACATTATATGTTAATGCCTTTTGTCAAAACGTGCTTTCTCCTTTTGTCCCCACCTTGTCACTTCTTGGTGTTCACCGTGTTGTGCAGTGGAGGGTTAAGGAAGTGCAAGACAGGGCATAATTGATCAGAATCCACCGTACCACTGCCGAGATGTTTTCAGTCCTCTTCCCCAAACCTTCCTCCACTGACCTCCTCCATTTCTGTTCCCTTATGTCCCCGAATGGGTGGGGACGGGGGTACTAATGGACTGTTGGGTGACTGTCATGAGATAATACAGAAAGGAGAGCCAGCACTTGAAGGCTGGAGAGACAGGCCTTGAAACCCCCGAGAGAATGAAGACACCCACACAGATGAATTGAACGATTCATGGCTTTAGCTATTGTTTCTCTCCTGTGTTCTTGGGGGTTTTCTTTTCTTGTTTACCAGAGGAATCTCACTGAAATAAAAAGCAAGTTCGATGTCTCTCAAAACCTTTTTATCCCAGGTGTTTACTGAGAGCAGTTTCTCATTATGCCAAGGCCAGATTTTGTAAACAAGCGTCAGTTCTTTCTTCTCATGGTTCAGGTCGTGGTGAACTATATCTGCACCACGTCACTGCAGCAGTACAGGGTCAAGGGATTCGGTGGGATCACAAAGCAAAAGCACCTGGGGATGAGGAACCACGTAGAACCATTGTTGCAGTAGGATGGATGCCAGGAGACTGGAGCATGGGAGGAGTGAAGTTTCAAGATGTGAACTCTCTTCCCTCTGTCCTTGTTTTTATCCTTCCATTCCAAACCCACCTCCAATACCACCCAGAATCCCCCCTGCTTCCCTTCCCTCCTCTTTGTTGACATTCCCTGCTATCTCCAAGGATACTGGGATTCATGTTGTTGTTCTGACCAAAACAGATGTTTTTTAGATGTTTACATCGGAGGAGGTTTACCTACTGGTGTCCAGGGTTTCAGAAGGGCTCTGTGTTGTGTCAGGGTGCTGAGCTCCTTCTGTCCCTGTCACCAGCCAGGGAGAGTCCAGCAGGTGGCACTTTTCTTCCCTGGGACTGGGACACTGGGCTTGGGTGTGTCACATCAAGTGACACCTCAAATCCCAGCCCCGGGGCCCGCAGATGGTGGGGGCACTGCTGTGCCGTTCACTGGCTGTGGGGTCCCACATCAAACAAGAATCTCTTGTAGGAAGGTCAGATCAAAGTGGAGAATCAGTTTCTTGTGCCAGGTCAGCTCTGTACTGCTTTAGTTAATTTTGTTGCACATCCCAATAATGTCCATATGCTCCAACAGCCAAATGTATCCCCTTTGCTGTCCTCATGCCAAGGAGCCTCTGGGTGGGTGGGTGGGAAATCACTCTGGGTTTGAGGCTCTAAGCTGAGCCTTTAGAGGAAGGGTGAATTTTAAAAAATTATGCTCTAAAAACCACTCAGAGCAGGAAATTCTTTGACTTTGGGGATCTTGCCTAAAAAAAAAAAAAAGAAAATACTAAAAAAATCCCGATCTGCTGGATGTTGTTGAATTTATTTGCCTCAAAAGATTAATGGATGAGTCAGGCTTTCCAAGATTTGAACTTGTTTCAAAGAGCTCTGAAGTCTTTCAAATCTGCAGCTCTGTGCTGTGGTTCATCTGATAAAAAGCCAGGCCTCGTGTTCTGTGAAATGTAATGGTACATTGAATTCTGAGTTGCGCCGTGCTGCGTTTGGACTGCTTGCAACTCACCTGCTAGCAGCCTCTGGAGCAGAGAAACCAAGAGCTGTGATGAAGTCACCTGAAGGATGCAGTTTGAAATGGGAGTGGGCTTGCTGTGTTTGCTTTTGTTTTGTGGAATGTCATTAATTGTGTTCATCCAGCTTAACAGGTGGATTAGGATTTACATCTGTGAGTAAGCAGACTCGATAATGTAGTGGAATTCTCCTCACTACTTATCTGCTATTTATACACTTAATATTCATTCATTTCACAGCTTCCCTGTGCCAATGTGAAACACGAAGAGCAAACGAAAGCGGCAGAACCTGAACCTGCCAAGCAACCTGCAAAACCAAAAAAAGTCATTAAAAAAATGGCATTAATAACGGCAGAAGAATTTGCAGATGTTCCTGTGTAAGTAAGCGTGGCTTTCCTCACACCCTGTCATGTCAATTTGGGTGGCAAACACAGGTTTGGGAGAGTGACCTGCAGAACTGGGACTGACAGAGATGGCTTGAAACTTTAAATATTGCTCAGGGTGAAACATCATGATAATAGCTCCAAATGGTTGAAATGCAGCACTGGCAAACCTGAAAATGAAATTAATAGTGTCTTCCCTTTTATTGGGAAGATCAGAACTAATCAGGTAAAACCCAAACCTCTTACTGCAAAAGTCACTGTAGTTGTATGAACAGAAATTTATTAGCTAACAGGTGAATTCTCTTCTTGTTTTGAGAACTGACCAAAAAAACTGGAGCATGGGAATCTTTGGTGTTTATCTCTGCTCTGGCAAGAGAAGTAGACACAGATCATTCCAAATAAATATTGTTTTAACTTCCACTTAAAGCTATGGTCTTCCACGTCACGAGACAGGTAGTTGTGGCACTTGGGGGACTTGGGTTAGTGGTGGCCTTGGCAGTGCTGGGGGAAGGGTTGGACTTGACGATCTCAGAGGGCTTTTCCAACCTACAGGATTCTGTGATCATCCTTGAGAATAGAAGATTTTCCACTGCTGTTCATGGACACAGAGGATGGGGAGAGAGGCCAGATGGAACTTTTCCCTATCCATTGCAGGCTTGTAGAGAGGTTACACCTTAGACTGTGCTGGTGGAACTCTAGAAAAAATTTTATTCAGCTGGGAAAAGCATGTTTGTTCTGTGGAGGAAGATTTACATAGATCTAATTATCTAACAGTACTACTGTTGCCTGGCAATGTTGTAGTACAAGATTGAGGGAGTACTCGTGATTTCGCATACTGTTTGATCAGATCTAAGCAGCAGATATTTGTGACCCAGATTTTCTTACACCAGACATATATTCCCTTGGAAGAACGAGGATTAGGTTCAGATCCTGGTTCTCCAGGTCAACACTGGTTCTGACATAGGATCTCGATGATCTTAAAAGGTTCTTTCCAACCCAAACAATTGTGCCATTCTATTCTGTGGTCAGAGACTTGCAAATTATCTTACCCTTCAAATCTGTTCCAGAAAGGCTTTTTTTTTTTTGCAGAAGAGATAGGAAATTTCACGGTATCCGTCTCAGTTAACGCTGAGTTCAGGGCAAAGGGAAACGCTTTCTTTATTCTGTGTCTAAAATTCTTACTGCTTTCTAAAATGTTTACTGCTTAAAATATTTTAGAATCTGCATGTTCGTTATGAATCTCGAACTTCAGAGGATGGTAACTTGAGGGAATATGTTTCCTTTAGCCTAAGCATTTTTGAGGGAGCAGGTGGTGGCCATTAAGAGATTTATCTCTTTTGGTGTGGTATATATGTGATACACTGACGTGCTCCTTTTCTCTGAGGAACACATCACTGTGCTTTGGTTTTCATACCTATGGAAAAGAATGTTTCGAAAAAGGGCTTCTGTGGATTAGAAGAAGAAATTGGGTCACTTGTTTTGGGTTTTTTTTTTAAAGGAAGATTTCTGAATATTACTGCTTCTGGAATAGTGAAGCAGATTTTAAAGTTATTTTAAATCTAAATTAAATGGCTGGATTTGGAACTTCTCAACTTTGTGTTTTTATATTGGTGTATGTATGGACTGAAATAAACGTCAGCATTTACAGGTTTTCCACCCATGGTTGGGTAGAAACACAAGAGGACTGTGGAACAGCTGTAGGTTTTATGATCCTTAGTTATTCACAGAATAAAAATTCTACTTGGTTTTGAGAGAGTTTGATTTCAGACTAAAGCATCTTGGGTGCCTGAGGGCCTCTCGGAGCCCTCGTTTCTTAGGTTTAGGCAACCCAATCCTGCCTCTCTGTTTCAGCTTCAGGATGGGCTGAGGTGCTCCCTTGACTTTATTAAGTGTGCTCACTGTGTGTCTGTTGATAGTGGGAGGACATGAATTTAAACACAGGTATTCTGTACCTCTGGGCTCAGCCTTCATAGCTCTGCTCGTTCCTCTGTGTCTCAGGGAGGCAGACAGAGCAATAAAGATCAGTTAATGCACACAGGCAAAGCCTTCCTGTGGTTGCAGGCTGTGTTGTTTATGCTGTGGCTGTGTCTCAGGGGTGGCAGTGCTGCTTTTGCTTCTGTGCAAAGTAGATCGTTTTTACAATCAGAAAATGACTGCACCTCCAACTTTGGGTTAATCTAAGAAGTATCAATGAAGTTGAAAGCCGGCCACCAGTAACTTGGTGGTGACTGAATTTCAAACTCAGTCTGAAATAAGAGCAATTACTTTGAATTCAGGTGGTTTTACACACCTCTTGCGGACCTGGCAGCAGGGACTGGGAGTTACTGAAATCTACAGCAAGCACTTATTTTTAGTTGGCAGTGGTAAAAAAAGGATCCTGCCCACATTCTGATTTGGAATATTGAAATTGTAATTGATTAGCCACTTCTGCTTTAAATTAATTCTCTGTATGTTTTCCAAAGGCATTTGGTTTGCTGTAGCAACTGAATGATGGTCACAGGATAGTGAAGGTTGGCCTGGCTTTTACTGACATGTTTTTGGAGGGGTTGTTATTTCAGTTTCAGATTTCATTTTTATATAATGGCTTCTCAGTTCGCAGCACTGTTCCTTTTCCTTAAAGGCATGCCTTTATATCTATAAATACTGAATAGCCTTACTTGCAAATTATCACAGTGTTCTAGTTTTTCCACATGGCTTTGGTTTTATCTTCTGTGCTTCCTGTACCTCTAGGCTGTTATCAACAGATCTTATTCTTCTAGTACTGGTTTTATGAAATGCTCTGAAAGTTCAAAAGTGGATCTTACTGGTGCAGAACACTGTCTGTACAGCTCAGTAGGCTGCACAGTGAAATACAGAAGACAACACAAAACTGGTAATTCTTCAAAAAACCCCACCAAATAAAAGGATGTGAGATCAAACACAGGTTATTTGTGGTGATAATAGGAACCAAACTGGAGGGGTGTACTGCACATGTCGAGCTTGGCCGTGCCCTCAGAATGCCCTCACGCTTCCAGGTTCAGACATAAAGAGTGAAGCAAACTCTGTTCTGTCTCACGGAAAAAAAGAACTTTCTCTGACAACACCTTGGCACCCACCTCCCTGTTTCTGGCCTGGACAGAATGTGAGAACATTCTGCCCTGAGCGCTCACTGTGTACTCAGGAGGCACTTTATGACAAACTGCAACTTGTTCTTGCTTAGATTTTGTTGCTGTTCAAGACTCTCAGTGCTACAGGATGGTGATTACATCACTCGCTTCTGGATTCTGAATGCAGCTTTTCTGTAGGGAAGGAACTCTGGTCTGATGGACCTGCCTGTCACTTTATTTTGAGACCTATAGGACAGGCATAGGATCATGGACTAGTTTGGGTTGGAAAGGGCCTTAAAGATCATCTCATTCCACCCCCCTGCCATGGGCAGGGACACCTTCCACTGTCCCAGGTTGCTCCAAACCCCATCCAACCTGGACTTCAACACTTCCAGGGATCCAGGGGCAGCCACAGCTTCTCTGGGCAACCTGTGTCAGGGTCTCCTCACCCTCACAGCCAGGAATTCCTTCCCAATATCCCATCCATCCCTGCCCTCTGGCAGTGGGAAGCCATTCCCTGTGTCCTGTCCCTCCATCCCTTGTCCCCAGTCCCTCTCCAGCTCTCCTGGAGCCCCTTTAAGCCCTGCAAGGGGCTCTCAGGTCTCCCTGAAGCCTTCTCCAGGTGAACCCCCCCAGCTCTCCCAGCCTGGCTCCAGAGCAGAGGGGCTCCAGCCCTGGCAGCATCTCCGTGGCCTCTCCATGGCTCCAGCAGCTCCATATCTTTTTTATATTGTGGCCCCAGGGCTGGACACAGGACTCCAGGTGGGGTCTCACCTGTCATGCAGAGGTCAGTGTTTAAAGGACTGTACTGAAATCACACTGAACACATGCAGCTGGATACCTTCATGGACTGGCTTCTGATATGGGCTCCGATGGTTGAGTTTCTCTAGAAATGTTTTGCCTCAGTCTAATAACAGCCTACATTAATCTGGGATTTCTTGAAATACCTTCCTCATCACTCTTAATTTGCAGCATATTTTTGGTTTAACTGTTCCTGTCCTTAGGACTTTAGTAAGGAGTTTGAGACCATGGTTATTGAGGGCAGGCTAAACACTGGGAAGGAGACCCCCTGGGCCTGGAATGCTGCTCCATGATCCACAGGAGCCTTGACTGCAGTGAAGAACCCTTTCCAGCAACTTGAGAAAGCTACAGCTAGTCAGAAATTTCTGGCAGAAATTTGGGGGTTTTAAATCGGAAAGATTGAGGTGTTTCATTTCTTCTAGCACCCAAGAGACAGCCTTATTTTCTTGTTTATGCTGGACAGTTGGACATTCAGCATCTGATAGAGTGTGTGTGTTTGTGTGGTAAGTTGTTTTGTTTAGGGTTTTTTTCGTGACTAATCATCCAGAAAGTCTAGAGAAAAGGTCTGGCAGGCTGTCGGACAGTTCTTATCTGGCCAGCACAAAATGATTAAATGTCTTTATCCATTGCATTTTGCAGGATGAGGTTGTGCATTCATTGATTTGTTTGCTTAAATCTCTACTGTGAGTGACCCTCTGCTTAGAATTCCCAGAGTTTCCCAGCCTGGGCTGATTGCCAGCTGACCTGTTCTCTGATTTCAAGATGAGGAAAGATGCTGCCTGGTTTATCAGAGTAACTTGCAGCCAGTAAGGTGATTCAGGTAGTTTAGTTTAGTTGTTTAGTGCATGGACCAAACCACCACCCTTCATCCAGCTCTGATTTCTTCATAAAAAAGATCCTACTATGCTGAATGTTGCTGCCCTGAGTTCTGGGCAAATATAAGAAGAAATCTTACCAAAATTCAGGACATTCTGGTGTTCCCCTGATATAAGTCTGACCAGTGTGCAGGCTATCCCTGGGCTCCTAAGGCTTTGGGTTTAATGCC